CAAATGTAAGACTTATGTATCAGATCGATTCAAGCCAGAAAAATTGGCTATCATGACACAGTGAATCAACTTTCCTAGAAGCAGGCCTAGCAATTGATTTAATATAATCTCTGCACTTCGTGTAGCGGACAACGTTAGCCCGTGTAGGCGTAATGAGTCAATCTTATGGAGGCTAGCATCAACCATGCTAACTAAACTGAAATAAACGTTATTTTCCTTATAAAATTAAGGGTGTTAACCAAATCGGGCCGAATGTGACCCTCGGACCGCAGATCGACCGATGTACATCTACACTCAATTGAAATGCTTATTAAGAGAATGCGCGCTTCATAGAAATAGTCAAACGATAAGAAACATGATAATGTTTAATAACTTTTTTTTATTTTATTAAATATTCAACCTATCCAAGGTGTTCTGCCTCTCGATTACGCGTCAATCTCACGTATACCTAAATACATAGCAGAAGCACAAAACAAGGTCCGACATATCCATTGCATAGAAACATGTTAACCTTATAAATGGTTAAGATATATTCTGGTGAGAAAACATGTCTAGCTTGACACAGTGAACACAACTTTCTTAACAGCAGACCTAGCAATTTATTCGATATATTTTTCTTCTCAATATAAATATTAGCCCGAAATAAAAGTCAATCATGGAAGTTATTATCAGGCATATAGGCAAATAAGGTTCTTTTAGACGATTGAAAGAGTTTAGTTTTGGAGGCGTTAAAAGTAACAAGCCATTTCTTGCCCCATTTAACAACAGATCGTAAGTCAGTTTTTCGGATCAGCGGCCAATTTGACCTTATCGAACCGACCAGACTTAATTACAACATGTTTCTCGGAGTTACATTAACCTGGTTAATTATGTGAGATTCACTGTATAATATTTAATAATTCCGGAAAAAAAAAATTCCATGAAAAATCTACGTGGAATGAAGAATTTACAAACTGAAAAAAGAATTATTTTATGGTAGTTCTCAGACAAAATAAAACATTTATTTATTGAATCAGGAACTGATCACTAATTTATTAGCGAGGCGCTAATAATTGCAACTGATGTGAGAAAACAGAAGAAGAAAAAAAACTTCGTATTGCTTTGCACGCCATAATAGAATCGAGAGGAAAAAAACATTACTTACTTCAGCGCCGACCAGATTCGCAGGAAATTGTTGAGTTGAGGGAAAAAGGTTTGGTGCTGGCTTTTAAATGCTTCTATAGTCTGTGATTAGAAACAGAAAATGTAAAAGAATAAAAGGATAGACAAGGGAACGAAAGAAACGATAGTAGGAAATGGTGTACAAGGAAAATAATTATATGAAAACGGCCGTTGGAAGAACAAAATAGCTTAGGAATATACCTCGAGATTAAAGAGTTAAAAGGGGAGAAAAAGTCTTAAGTGTGTAAAAGGGGAGAAAAAGTCTTAAGTGTGTAAAAGGGGAGAAAAAAGGAGAGAAAGGGTGTTTAAAAGGGGTAGAAAAAAAAATAAGGTGTAAATGGGGAGAAAAAGCGGTTTAGTGTAAAAGAGGGAGAAAAAGTCTTAGTGTGTAAAAGGGAGAAAAGGCGGTTTGTGTAAAAGAGGAGAAAAAAGTTTAAGTGTGTAAAAGAGGGAGAAAAAGTCTTTAGTGTGTAAAAGGGGAGAAAAAGTCTTAAGTGTGTAAAAGGGGAGAAAAAGTCTTAAGTGTGTAAAAGGGGAGAAAAAGTCTTAAGTGTGTAAAAGGGGAGAAAAAGTCTTAAGTGTGTAAAAGGGGAGAAAAAGCGGTTTAGTGTGTAAAAGGGAGAAAGGCGGTTTAGTGTGTAAAAGAGGGAGAAAGGCGGTTTAGTGTGTAAAAGAGGGAGAAAGGCGGTTTAGTGTGTAAAAGAGGGAGAAAGGCGGTTTAGTGTGTAAAAGAGGGAGAAAGGCGGTTTAGTGTGTAAAAGAGGGAGAAAGGCGGTTTAGTGTGTAAAAGAGGGAGAAGGCTCTGAAATTTTGTGAAGGGAGAAAATTAGTGTGGAACCAGAATAAACAATTAAAGACGGCTCTTGAAAACCAGAAGAATTTATCTTCGAATTTAATGAGAAAGAGAGGGAGAAAGTTCAGAACTTACAATGGCAACCAGGGAGAAAGAGATAGAGAGAGAAAGAGAGGGATAGAGAGAGAAAGAGGGGTTTAGAGAGAGAGAAAGGGATAGAGAGAGAAAGGGATAGAGAGAGAGAGAAAGGCAGTTTAGAGAGAGAAGAGAGAGAAAAGGGGTTTTAGAGAGAGAAAGGGAGAAAGAGAGGTTTAGAGAGAAAGAGAGAGAGAAAGGCGGGGATAGTGAGAGAGAGAGAAAGAAAGGGAGGGGTTTAGAGAGAAAAAGAGAGGGAAGAGAGAGAGAGAAAGAGAGGGATAGAGAGAGAGAGAAAAGAGGGGATAGAGAGAGAGAGAAAAGAGAGGGGATAGAGAGAGAGAGAGAAGAGAGAGAGGGGATCTTGAAAGAGAGAGAGAGAAAGAGAGGGGATAGAGAGAGAGAGAGAAAGAGAGGGGATAGAGAGAGAGAGAAAGAACTTAGAGAGAGAGAGAGAAAGAGAGATAGAGAGAGAGAGAGAGAGAGGGGATAGAGAGAGAGAGAGAGAGAGAAAGGGATAGAGAGAGAGAGAAAGAGAGGGAGAGAGAGAGAGGGATAGAGGCCGAGAGGAGAGAGAGAGGGATAGAGAGAGAGAGAGAGAGAGAAAGAGGAGAGAGAGAGAGAGAAAAGAGGGGATAGAGAGAGAGAGAGAAGAGGGGATAGAGAGAGAGAGAGAAAAAGAGAGGGGATAGAGAGAGAGAGAGAGAGAGAGGGGATAGAGAGAGAGAGAGAAAGAGAGGGGATAGAGAGAGAGAGAGAAAGAGAGGGGATAGAGAGAGAGAGAGAGAGAGGATAGAGAGAGAGAGAGAGAGAGAGGGGGATAGAGAGAGAGAGAGAGAAAAGGGATAGAGAGAGAGAGAGAAAGAGAGGGATGAGAGAGAGAGAAAGAGAGGGGATAGAGAGAGAGAGAGAAAGAGAGGGGATAGAGAGAGAGAGAGAAAGAGAGCAGTGAAGAAATAATGTAACATTTGCCAAAAGAACAAGAGAGACGAAGTAAATTTAGTTCTGAATTAGATCAGCTAAGAAATACACAAGGGAAAGAAAAAAAAGACGCAAAGGAAAAGAGAAAAGGAAAAGAGAAAAAAAAATGATATAATTTTTGAGATAAAGCATTTTACTTGTATTTCTTTCATCTTATTTCACTAGCTTTTTATTGCCCAAGTGGTATTAGATGTCATATTTGATTTTCTTGCATGAAGCATTGATAATTATTACTTTTTGACTAGTATTAACTTAATAATTGTTTTACATTTTACCTTTGGGAAATGTATAAATGCATCTCCTCCGCTAGCTATGGGTTATATAGAAATGAAACTTCTAACTACAGGAATACGAAAGGAAAAGAGTGTTGTTAACCCAAGACTTGAAGAGCTCAAGATTGTAGTGATTGGGAAAACATCCTGCCGGGAGTCTGTTCTACAAAGCAGCAATTCTTGGGAAGAAGCTGTCTGAACGGAATTTACTTCTTAATAATGAAATACGAAGGGAAGGGTAATTTATCCACAATTGTGTTTGTAGCATGGCGGTTCCCATTGGTAAAGGTCAGGGGTAGTGAGAGTAAGGAATGTAGTTTTTCAGATCACTTGCCATGGAAATAGAGCAACAAGAAGCTCACATCATTTGATATCTCAGGAAGTTTCTAATAAATTGCTAATGCAATATTTATTCGCAAAAAGATTATTCTTATAATCCAAATTGGTTCGGTTTTAAATAAAACCCACAAAAAGTTGATAAGTCGTAAAACAATAATCAATTCTTGCTTTTTACCGCACTAGCAATCTTAAATGCAATATTGTATTGATTTCTAAGATAAAGCATTGTCAATTTTTATTAATTTTGGCTTGTATTTCGTTCATCTTATTTGTTTTAGCTTACACGTTTCTGATCTACTTTGCTTACAACGGCCGTAAAAAGTTAAATTGATTGCGACAGAAATATGAAATAAGACGAAAATGATTAAAAAAAAAAAAATTCATACCAAGTATAAGGAACAGTATGATTTTTTTTTGTTTCTAATCCGCTGCCTACGGACACAGACTACTAAACGTTCCACTGTCTACAGCTATAGTTCTAATGCCTGGAGGCGTAGACATCGACTAATTCTGCCGTATGAGGGTGTATACTGATATTCAGTCCACAGCCTACAGGCGTAGAAAGCTTCCCATTATACTGCCTAAGAGGGTAATTACATGCATACCACCGTAGACAGATATACAGTACACTGGATACGGGCCTAGTTCTTCTGCTTACAGGCATAGAGAACATCGTGTTCTACTGCCTACGGGCATAGACAGCACCGTGTTCCTCTGCCTACGGGCGTAGTACTACTGCCTACGGGCATAGGCAGCATCGTGTTCCATTTCCTACGGGCGTAGTTCTACTGCCTACAGACATAGACAGCATCGTGTTCCTCTGCCTACGGGCATAGACAGCATCGTGTTCCACTTCCTACGGGCGTAGTTCTACTGCCTACAGGCATAGACAGCATCGTGTTCTACTGCCTACGGGCATAGACAGCATCGTGTTCTACTGCCTACGGGCATAGACAGCATCGTGTTCCTCTGCCTACGGGCATAGACAGCATCGTGTTCCTCTGCCTACGGGCGTAGTTCTACTGCCTACGGATATACTTCCAATGCATGGAGGCGTCGACAGCTACCAACCCCACTGTATAAGGGTGTATACTCCTATTCGTTCCACGACCAACTGGCGACATTCCACTGCTTACGGACGTAAACTGTTAATCGTTCCATTGTCTACGGGCGAAGTCCCACTAATTACGGACGCGGTTACAATGCTTAAGGGCGTACACATTTTCTCATTCACTGCCTGCAGTTATAAATTGCAACTTGTTCTACTGCGTATAAGCGTGTACTGCCTCTCGATTCATAGCCTACGGGCGTAGACAGCCTCACGGTCCACTGCATAGAGGCGTTGATCTATTGCCTACGGACGTAAAATGCTACTTGGTCCACTGCCTACGGGCGTAGACAGTTTCTTGTTCCATTGAATACAGGCATAGTTCCAATGTACACGGGCGTGAAATGCTACTCTTCCCACAATGGGCGTGGTCCACTTACCTACAGGCGTAGTTCCACTGCGTATAGACGTAGACTGATTCTCGTTCTACTTCCTACGGACATAAAATGCTACGCTTTCCACTGACTACGGGCGTAAACTTGTATTTTTTATAGATAGCTATAGTTCCACTGCTTACAGGCGAAGTTCCCCTGACTGCCTTCGTAAACAACGACTTGTTCCACTGCCTACGGGCGTAATTGTACTGCTTACAGGCTAGACTATTTATCGTTCCACTGTCTACGGCCGCACACCGCTATTCGTTACACTGTCTACGGCCGCACACCGCTATTCGTTACACTGTCTACGGCCGCACACCGCTATTCGTTACACTGTCTACGGCCGCACACCGCTATTCGTTACACTGTCTACGGCCGCACACCGCTATTCGTTACACTGTCTACGGCCGCACACCGCTATTCGTTACACTGTCTACGGCCGCACACCGCTATTCGTTACACTGTCTACGGCCGCACATAGTTTAGATTTAAAGCCCCATATTCTCCCCAGATTATTCTTCTATTTAGCTTAATGGATTTCACCGTTGGGCCGGGAACTTGACAGTAATTGTGAGTTCAATCACTAGAAAGAGTGTACTTGAATTTGGTGGAAACACGTCGAGATAACTCAGCAGTACTAAACACAGACAATGGCAGTTGGAGCTTTAAACCAATCCTTCCTGATGATTATGTTGTCACTGCTGCTGTTATCTGTGTAATTTCACTCAGTGGCACCGGAAATAACTGAACAGTACTGAACAAAAATATGAACTAGACGAGAATAGTCTACCTTCGAAAATAAAGTCTTCAGTTCAGAATTTACTGTAGGTTACCAAGACCAATATACACCTGATGAAGTTTGAGGGCACACTGGCCGAAACGCTGTGGTAACAATAAAGATGGGGACAAAAAATCTGAATTTAAATCATGTAAATAATAACTTCCTATCCGTGTAATTCGAACAGAAATATTCCCCCCCCCCGTTTTTTTTTTACAGATTGGCGTAACACAATCTTTATAACTTGATTTATATCGCGGCCGAAACGTCGTGATAAAAATGAGGACAATAGTCCGAATGTAAGTTATGTAAATAATGAGAAGTGGATGCTTAAACGTATGATTAAATTTAAGCCTCAAATACAAAGTGAAACATAATGCACAGATACTACACTGATCTTGTATACAGGGACACGAAGCAACACTTTGATCCGAAGCAGAGCAAACATTCAACTTTTCTCTCAGAAGTCAAATGATTTAATCACTTTTTCTCTTACTTCTCTTGTCGTCTGCAAGTCTTGTGAATGTTGGATTCTTCATAGCCTCTATTATCATTATTTTTCGCAATAAAAGTTCAATGCTCCGCAGAAAATGAATCCTCCCGAATTGTGTTGCGTAGCAGCCAATAAACAACTGACTTATGGCTAAAGTGAAAGATTGTTTTTGTTGATCACGCTAGATAACATGTTCTTTTCCAGAAGCTGTAACTAAGGTCTGCTCACCATAGTTGTAGTATAAACCACACGTGTGCTCTGTGAGTGTTGAATAAACACAAATGCACCTGAGCAAGTGCCTGCAATAGGGATTGGTAGACAGTATAGCCAGCCACTTGTATTCGAAGATACCTGTGTGTGTGTGTGTGTGTATATATATATATATATATATATATATATATATCGTGACAGAGAGGGAAGGGGGAGAGGAGCCAAAACAAAGAGCCACAGGGAAGGGGGAGAGGAGCCAAAACAAAGAGCCACAGGGAAGGGGGAGAGGAGCCAAAACAAAGAGCCACAGGGAAGGGGGGAGAGGAGCCAAAACAAAGAGCCACAGGAAGGGGAGAGGAGCCAAACAAAGAAAAGAGAGAAGGAAAAAAAAGTAAAAGGGTAGGGGGAGAGGAGCAAAAAGAAAGAGCGATTAGGAAGTGGGAGGAAAGCGAAAAGAAACAGCGAACGGAGAAGATGAGCGAAAAGAAAAAGCGAATGGGTAGTAGGGAGAGGAGCGAGTATAAAGAGCGATCGGTAAGTGGGGAGAGGAGGGTGAAGAACGGGAGATTGGCAAGGAGGAGAGAAGCAAGAAGCAAGAGAAAGGGGGAAGAGGAGCGTGAAGAAAGAGATTGGAAAGGGAGAGAGGAGCGGGAAGAAAGAGAGGTTGGGAAGGGGGAGAGGAGCAAGAAGAAAGAGAGGTTGGGAAGGGGGAGAAAAAAATCGAATTTACTTGCAAATTCTAAATTCCTTAACCTGGCAAATTACCTTTCTTAATCAAACGTTGAACAAGAGGAAAGTGTCTCATTTTTCGTATCCGGTTGGAAATCTGTACCAACATCCGGATCTCGTTCTTAGTTTTCTAGAGAGAGAAAAGTGAGGCATGTCCGAGATTTCAAAACAACCCTTATAAAATTAGGAAAGCAATAATGACTTGTCTAGCAATGGCGGCTAGTAAATTTAAAACAGTGGCGGGAAATCTTGATTAAACCGGAAATTAAGCGTTTTACCAAGATGCAGATCGAAGATTTCTTAGCTTCAGTGAAGGAAAATTGTGAAGAAATAAATGAAAATTATGAATCGGATTAGGAATGAAAAAGAGACAGGATAAAGAAAAAGAAATGAAAAAGATTAAAGAATTGATTTCGTGATAGAGGAAGAGGGAGAGAGAGAAGGCGGTTAGGAGCAAGAAGAAAGAGCTGAGAGGGAAGTGGGAGAAGAGCGAAAAGAAACAGCGAGAGAAAGGTAAGAGGAACGAGAGGAAAGCGAGAAAGGACAAGACAGCGAAGGGAGGGAGGGAGCGGGAGGAAAGCGAGAAAGGACAAGAGAGCGAAGGAGGGAGGGAGCGGGAGGAAAGCGAGAAAGGACAAGAGAGCGAAGGAGGGAGGGAGCGGGAGGAAAGCGAGAAAGGACAAGAGAGCGAAGGAGGGAGGGAGCGGGAGGAAAGCGAGAAAGGACAAGAGAGCGAAGGAGGGAGGGAGCGGGAGGAAAGCGAGATGACAGAAAGGGGGAGTGAGAACGCAGAGAGAGAAAAGGGAAGGAAGTTGGTTAGAAGAAAGAACGTTGAGGAGGGGAAAGAGCCGGCGCAAACAAAGTGCCGCGGGAAACAGAGCCGGCGCAAACAAAGTGCCGCGGGAAACAGAGCCGGCGCAAACAAAGTGCCGCGGGAAACAGAGCCGGCGCAAACAAAGTGCCGCGGGAAACAGAGCCGGCGCAAACAAAGTGCCGCGGGAAACAGAGCCGGCGCAAACAAAGTGCCGCGGGAAACAGCCGCCGGCGCAAACAAAGTGCCGCGGGAAACAGAGCCGGCGCAAACAAAGTGCCGCGGGAAACAGAGCCGGCGCAAACAAAGTGCCGCGGAAACAGAGCCGGCGCAAACAAAGTGCCGCGGGAAACAGAGCCGGCGCAAACAAAGTGCCGCGGGAAACAGAGCCGGCGCAAACAAAGTGCCGCGGAAACAGAAACAGAGCTGGCGCAAACAAAGTGCCGCGGGAAACAGAGCCGGCGCAAACAAAGTGCCGCGGAAACAGAGCCGGCGAAAACAAAGTGCCGCGGGAAACAGAGCCCGCGAAAACAAAGTGCCGCGGGAAACAGAGCCCGCGAAAACAAAGTGCCGCAGACAAAGAGAGAGCGAGGCAGACAAAGAGAGAGCGCTTGACAGAGTATAAGAAATAAAATCATCTTGTAGAATCACGTGGACAGAAAAAAAGTAAGGCAACATCACAATATATAATATTTATGTAATAAAGAAAGTAATAAAAAAAATGATGTCAACCCGGTGCTGAAAATAACTTGAAATGTGAAACCAAGTCACCAAACTGTGTTAATTTCAATGTGTACACTGTATGTGTGTATATTTTTTGGACACACACACAGTGTGAAATTCTTTAAATACACTTTGTAAATCATCAAAATTAATTTATTAATTTCGCTCGTCTTTTTTCTTATCTTTTTCTTCATATATGAATGTGCCAATTTTTATAATAATCTTCGCCACAGCCTTTAATTTCTACATTTCTTTTTATTTTTGGGTGGTGGTGGGGAGTTCTTTTAAGTTTCTTGGATCGAAACTAATTACTGACTGCTTGCAATTGTCTTTTCACGTATTCTATACTTTTTTTGATTCTACTGGTCCTGTAAAATGCTATTTATATAAAATAGAAATATAGAAAACATAAATTATGTCCCATTGAAAACTGATAAAAAGAAATAAGCTGGATTTAATTTAAAATCCTGCCGGCAATTTGTCGATCGAAGCAAAATTAGTTTTATGCTAATTTCGCTGAAATAAAAAAAAAAAAAAAAAAAAATGTCGTCTGACATTGTCCTTATCATCCGCCATTTTGGTTACGGATTCTGAAATGAAAAGGAATTTGGCAGCTAAGTTATTTTGATTAAATTATACACCGTGTCCGCACCAACTCAGTTAGAGATTAACAGAGTACTGAAGAAGAAAGAGATGTTGATTTATATATATATATATATATATATATATATATATATATATATATATATATATATATATATATATATATATATATAGCCTTTTTCGTCGATGGCGACGGTCGGTAGCGGAAAATAAAACACTGCGCCGCTCATGGCTAAAACAACCAATGCACGATCGGCATGGTTTTTGACAACGACCACAGTAGTACAGGACGCCCCACAAAAAAAAAAAATCAATTTTAGATTTACTATATAAGAAAAAAAAAAGAAAAAAAGAATTAAGTAACATTAAAAAAATATTTTTTTTAGTTTAAAACCCACATCTAACATTTGTGTTTTTGTTCCGCTTGAAGTTAATACATTTGCTTTTGTTTCAAATAATTAACAAAAATTCCAACAATTGAATAAACTGTACCAAATTTCCTGTTTTTTTTTGTGGGTGGGGGGGCACCCTGTAGAATACTGTTGATTCATCCACTGTGGGGCATTTGCGTCTTTGTCGAGTCTCTACGGCGCTCTGGACTCTATTCTCTTCATAGCTTTTTGCTCCCACGAGAACAGCAGCTTTCCACGCCACTCGATCCCGGACAATCGCATTCCAGTTCGCAACATTGACAGAAAATGGACTTTTTACACGGGTCTTTGAAGCGAAGTTTGGGTCGTGCAACGTTAGGCATGCGCTTAGACAGTTCCCCATAGAGTATCTCTTTGGGAATTCAGGAATTACCCATGCAAGCAACATACCCAAGCCACCTGAGACCGCAAGATGGATTATCGTGACCGAATACTATCGTTTTTGAACACTTCTCTATCCGGGACCCAAGTCTTGCCGTTTAATTTTTAAAATATATTTTAATTGTTTTTTGAATACATTTAAGCATTTTCATAATTTTCGATGGCACTTCATGTTTTTTTGAAGTTTTTTTTTCTTTTATATCTTTAAAAAAGAAAAATTTCTTCCATTATTTTTTTAAAAATTTTTCAAAGAATTCTTTCATTAAATCGTGCATCGTTTTCCTTGTTCGTTTATGTCATTTGTCGTTCACGAAAACCTCTTTCATCTTGAATAAATATTTTCATTGGGCGAATTTTACTTTTCCTTATTTTGATCGACGATGAAATGTGAAAACATCGCTAGAAACAAAGACAATAATGCGAAAAAGCTACGCCATACCTATCCTCATTTGTGATAGGGGCTTACGACCACATCACGTCGAAACATCTATTCCCGTACGGTCACCGAAGTTAAGCAACGTCAAGCCTGGTCAGTACCTAGATGGGTGACCACTTGGGAATACCAGATCCTGTAAGCTTGGATGTGCGGGTGGTGTAATGGATAATTGCTCAGAATTGTTAATCAGTGAGCAGAGTTCCAATTCCTGTTGGGTTCATTATTTACATTATCCGGGCTATTGTCCTCATTTCTGTCGCCATATTTATTACAACGTTTTGGCCGTTGTACGCTCCGGCCTTCTTCAGGTGGTTGGAATGTCGAACTGAACCCTTTATTTCGCTCACTGGGGTAGATGTTCTAGTTCCACGTGCCATGTTTAATTATTATTATTAATAATAATAATAATAAAAACGAGAGCTGAAGTTTCTGGAGTCATTATGAGGAGAGAGGTCTTGGAAACTTTAACACACTCAGGACGTTGAAAGAAGTACAGGTGAGCATTCTACTTAATTTGTGTGAATGGAAAATAGAACGAGGAGAAAGAACGATGGCAAAGAGTTAATTGTAGAACTACAAAGACGAAATTGTGGAGAGCCATTTTCGGACATATCCTTAAGAGAAAAAAATTTAAAAACAACCCAAAAAACAACCGATTCCTTATCTGCTCATTTATAATTTTTCATTTCCTTTTATTCATATTCCTTTCTATTTGGACTTTCCAACCACTAATCCATTCTTTTCTCTTTCTTTCTAATTATTATTTATTTATTTATTGCTAGCTTAGAAGCTGCCCTTCGTGTTGACTTAAGTTAACTCATGCGGGGCGTTAATTGGGTCCCCGGCCCAAAACTAAAGGGACCTCTGGTCCAGCTAAGAAAACATCAATGATAAATTTAAAGAAATATCTTTAAATTCCTTGATTCACTCCATGGAACATCAAAACGTCGCTAACTTGAGTTCCTCAAAAGACAACTTCGGCGAATCTTCAGTTTAGTTCTTCAAATCATAAACTCTGTGGAACTTCAAAACATCACGTCATGTAACCTCACTTTTATTCTGATTCCTTGACATTTTGAATAAATAAAATTGATTTCCTCAATTCAAAAAGTTTTGGAGATACACTAGAATCCCTCATACCCGGACATGGCTTTGATGTATATATTTTCACTATTTGGAACTGATTTGAAATTTCTATTTGGAAATTTACTTTGGATAATTGCTTATACTTATTTCTCCCAGATGGCTTGTATTGGTGTAAAAGATAATGAGAATAAGAGGAAAAGAACAACTTTGGAGTTATCGCAAAAAGTAGAAATTTTAAACAGACTAGACACTGGTGCAAGTTCATTGTAACTAATGGCCGAGTTCAATATAGGAAGGTCAAGATTGTATGATACAAAATCTTCCAAAGAAACTATTCTCCAGCGTCCACAGTATCACAATGAACAAATTAAAATGATTGTGATGAAACCTGGACTGAAATTGAAAAAGCTATTGAAAAGTTTGCCAGTTTTATGGAAAGAAAGCAATCATTCAGCTATGACGATTGCAATAACGCACGCAGAGTTTTAAAAATTTCAAAAACAAAATGAAATGCTGAAAAAGTTGAGAATGACATTAGAAGAGAAAATCATCATGCAACAGCGATTATAATATCCTTGTTATTTAATTTAATAAAATTTCATTAAAATTAGATAATTTATTTTTTTCCTTAAAATCAATCCCATTATATTTCACTCACCATTAGCTTATTTTGTTTACTATAAAACATTGAAAATAAACGTTAAATCTGGTATCAGTTCTTTTATTTTAATCTAAATATAACCCCTCATATCTGGACTTTGTAACCAATTGCTCATATCCGGAAGGTCTTAGTCCGGTTGTCAGGAATTTTACTCTATTTTAAACTGAATTTAAAGCAAAAATGTTTAAATTCAAAGTTTTTGTGTTACTTTAAATGTAACATAACCCCGTCGTGTTGAGGAAGTCTTGGGCGACGTTGTAGATTCGATCATAAAGTTGCATTCTTTTATCGCTCGTCATCAACCGGGCGGTGATCGTTAGTTGTTTTGACTCAAGATGGAAAGAGCTTCAACACACGGAATTTTAACTTAGCTAGTTTATTAACGTCGATGTAACATCTATTTATCCAGTGGGGGTTGCTTTCCCTCCACCAGGGGACGTGTCAGACACGAAAGAAAGAAAACACGTCTACATTGACGGTTTAGACTCCCTGAAATCACTACCTCTATCTATCGTTCCCACGCTTGCTCAGCCAATCAAAATCGACTTCCTTGTTTTGTCTTCCATCTGACCTCAAAAGGTCAAACCCATGAAGTCGGAGCCGCGATACACTTCCTCTAAAAAATAATAGTCTGCTAAACTATTTTTTTTACATAAACCCAATATAAATTAAAATCTTTTAACAATCACTATTTTTTTTTTCAGTTCTTTTAAATTTTTAACGCTTCCCTACTCATCCGGACACAAATGCCAATGCTGGATGTTCAAGAACCCGATGGACGGCAGATTTTCAATCCCGTATCATCCCGATTCCAAATGGGTACAATATGTCTATGTAGAGCAAGAGTGGCCCGCCTTAGAGCGGTTTCAGATGGACAGACAGAATTTTCCTTTTATTTATTTAGAAGATTGTTAACGAATAAATAAATGAAAGAGTTTGTTCTTTCGCTAGGTTAGATTCCCGTAAACGACGCGAGGAAATGTAATCGAATATTACCTTGAATATTACTGCCAAATATAGTCTGGTGCTTCTGTTACATATCTGGAGATTCTTGACCAAAATCAAAGAATCTTTTTTTTCTTTTAAGCGTTTCACCCCAAGCAAGGCTGGAAGCCACGAGCACAGGAGTTACAGAGAGTTGGATCGAGAGCAAAGAGGAGTGATAGAGGAAAGGATGAAGAGAAGGATAGGGGATAGATCAGGACATCTGGAGACGTCGATTGACGTTACATTTGAATAGTTGGGGATTATAGCTATCAGGGAAACAAGAAAAGGGGAGAGAGTTCCACAGGCGAGAGGTGCGAGATATGAAGCTATTGGAGTAGAAGAGACGGTTACATTTAACAGTTTCGACAGTGAAACGGTGGGACTGAAGTGCCAATCTAGTAGCACGTTTGAATTCATGCAGTTTGGTCACTTGTGTTCAATTCGGTAGCAACGTGGGACGGATGAAAAATAACCTCGGCTTCTTGGCTGGGGTCAAACTGTAATAGCTGCCCCGGGCGGATTAGCTCTCAACTTGTCTCTCATGTGTGCCTTTATCTTCTGCATTTCTCACTTGTGGAATTCTTCCGGTTTCGGTGTTAATTAGGAACTCCAAAAATCTAAATACAATGTCGAGATGCTCAAGACCATTAGTCTGCTAAAATGTCGTGTGATATGAAAGGGCTTACAAAGCAGAAGTGTCTCACTGAAAAATTCCACATTAAAATTCTACGTTTGCAGAAAATTTCAGCCGAAATATTAAGCAAATTAAATAAACTTACCGGACAGACATCAATTATTTGTCTTGGGTATGACGATAAACTTGCTTCAATCCGATCAATGCAAATAGTATAAATAATTACAGTACTTGATCCCAGAAATATAGATACATCCTGAAGAAGGCCGGAGCATACAACGGCTGAAATGTCGTGTATATAGCAACAATGATGAGGACAACAGTCCGAACAATGTAAATAGTGTAAATAATTACAATACTTCATCTCCGAAATATAGACAGATATTAAAACATCCGATATGAAATATGGTGGAAATGCACTGATCCTTTGAACGAAAATACAGAAAAAGGAAAAATATTCTTGCTGAGAACGAAAGTAAAATCGATACATCTTCCATTCAAATTATTAACGTTGTTTAGTCACCCATTTTTGGGTCATCATTCCAGTTTTCCTTTCTAGAAAAAAGAAAAATTGTCGAGTCAGTTGCTAAGTTTCTAGCTTAGAACGCTGGTTTACTGAATCATCTCTCTCTATATATATATATATATATATAACAGAGGATGTGTGTGTGTGTGTGTGATAACTTTTCACTAGAGATCCATCCAACCGATTTTGACCAAACTTGGCACATACATTGTACAATGTAAGAGATAGGTGCTTAGCGTAAAAAATCGATAATTTAAAAAAATCAATTATCGATAAAGCCGATAAAAAAAAAAATCGATAAATTCAACCATTCCCCCCCTCCAATTTCGTTCAAACTCGGTATGTAGGTTATATCATAACACAAATCGGTTTCAACACAAATTTTAAACTAAAAACTCCCTCAATTTTCAAGCAATCTAATACAAACTTCACTCAATTGTAGCCAACAATAAGTTGATTGTTTAAGGCATTTATCCTGATAATTGAATTCACCCATATGGTGAAAGCGCATAAATAGAGAAAAATGGCGATTTTTTACTGGTTTCTTTCTTAATTTTCGTTGATCTTTCAACGAATTTTCATCAAACTTAATTGTTATTTAAATGTATCCTCTTTTACATCCCTGGTAGTATACTGACAAATTGAATTTCAAAAAGTCCAAAATAATTGTAGTCTGAAGTGGGTCTTCATATTGCCTGTTTTACCCCTTCATGTTCTCGGCTAACTTCGATTGAATAAATACAGACGACTTCTGTTATATCAGTAAATGCATTAATTCAAAATATTTTTTAATGAAAGTACTTTAAAGTAATTGAAAAAGAAAGATTATTACAGTTGAACATGATACTGTTTTTTCTCCATTCTAATTGAATGCATTTTCCGATAGATCAGCTGGGTATGACTGCTAGTATTAAACAATATCTTGCACATTTATAGGGCTATCATTCGTCCGCTCATTGAATATTGTTTCCAGATCTGGTCTGGTGCTTCTGTGGGACAAAAGCCATAAGATCATCTGCAATGTTATTTATTCTAACCTGGCATCTCGGCTTCAGCCACTTTCCCACATCCTTAACGTAGCTTCTCCGCGTCTTTTTTATAAGTATTTTCATAGCGAATTTTCTGATGATCATTACACTTAGGTACCGCGAATTCAAATTTAAACGCAGCACTCGATTGATGGTTAGGTCTCATCATTTTACTGTTCAAATTCCCAGGTATAACCGTAAATCATATTCTTATAGT